CAATTTTGGAGCCTCTTCAACATACGGTTTTACGGGTGGAGAGTCGCGATTCTTCATATGATATCTCTAATTTCTTTGGTTTGGAATGGAATTCGAACCTATCAAGTGCGGCAACTAATTCATCATAGTCTTCAATACCATCACCCTCAAAATTCATTATAACCTCTGCCAGAGCATCAACACCCAACCTCTCTTCAATAGACACATCAGAACCTCACTCCACAATATGATTAACCACTGATACTGACTTGAGGTTGCTTTCCTGCTTCATAGACCTACAGATGTTGAAAGTTACCTCTTCATTATTCAATTAGAACTTCATCTTCCCTCTCTCCATATCGACCAAGGTGCGCTTAGTAGCAAGGAATGTTCTCCCTAAGATGATGGGAACCTCAAAATCAATCTCACAATCATGTATCACAAAATCCACCGAAAAAATAAACGACTCCACTTTCACTAAGACATCTTGGAGAACACCAATGGGCTTATTCACAGTTCTATCGGCCATGGGTAGTCGCATCGCAGTCGGTTTTGGAGCCCCTCAACCCAACTTCTTGTAGATAGACTATGGCATCAGATTAATGCTAGCACCCAAATCACACAACGCCTTCGCAAAATGCAACAACCCAATGGTACGATGAATAGTGAAAGCACCAGGTTCCTTTTTCTTCTACACAAGTGACCTAGTAGCAATAGCATTGCAATGTTACAACCTCTCATCATTCTCAAAGCTAACAACCCTCTCTTTGGTCACCAAATCCTTCATAAACTTTGCATACCCAGGCATTTGCTCCAAATCCTCTATTAACGGAACCTTGATGGAAAGCTGTTTCAACATAGTAATGAACCTACAGTATTTTCCTTCTTCATTCTTCTTCGCTAATCTCCGTGGGAATTTCGGTGGAGGTCTAGGCATGGGAATAACTTTTTGGGTCACCTCCGCTACCTTCTCTATAGCATTCTTGGACTCTCCAGTAACCTCGATCTCATCATCATCTTTTTCGACCATAATTTCAACCTTAGACGACATAGGGGGATCAATGGTCTGCTTACCTCCTCGAGTAGTGACTGCCATACAATGCCCATCATTCTTGAGATTCTGGATGGTGTTGCTAGGAAGTGTGCCAGGCTGGCGTGGGTTTACTTTAGTGGACAACTGATTCATCTGCTGCTCAAGTTGCTTGATCAACACTGCATATGCATTAAATTTTTGGCCAATTCCAGACAAGTCGTTTCACATCTCCTTCACATTTTCATCAGTCGTATCAAACTTCTTCATCATCTTCTGCATCATATCCTCAATACGTGACATACTACCCCCATCTTCCCTATTGCTAGATTCTCGATTTGCAGGTGGAACATAAGGCCCAACTCTCTCGTTTCTGTTGCCATAGTTGGTCCAGTTGTACTTGTTGCTGTGATGGTAGTTCCCATCCTGCACATAGTTACCCTCTCGATTGTAGTTACCATAGTTACGACCTTGGTTTCCTTGATCTTGGCGCCAATTATCTGAATTGGAACCTTGGGCGTTGGCTTGGAAACCCATGTCTGATTATTCACCAAATAAGCATCCTCCTCATAGTAGCGTTCCTCAACTGGTGGTGGTGGAGTTATAGTCAAGTAGTTTACCGCATTCACTTTTCTGCACCTTCGCTCACATTTTTCAACACCAACCCAAGTTCTGTCCTCATTTGAGCTATCTTCTCATGAATTTCATCAGTAGATTGACTAGGTGCAACTTGAGCTACAAATGTGCTTCTTTCAGTGTCTGACTTTCAGTGCTCCATGCTTTATTATTTTGGGAAATCTTCTCTAGTTTCTCTGCGATCTCCTCAAATGTACACTCACCATATGATCTTCCAGCGATAGTATTAAGCACAACCTTACCATTGTCATCCTGACCTTTGTAGAAATACTCCTTCAGTGACTCATCATTGATGCGGTGATTCAGAACACTTCTTATGAACGCAGTGAACCTATCCCATGAACTACTCACAGACTCTTCAGGTAGTGCTACAAAGTTGTTCAACTTGTCTTTGTGATTCAACTTCTTGGACAACGGGAAATACTTTGCTATGAACACCTTGTGCAATTGGTCCCATGTATGAATAGAGTTATACAAAAGCTTAAAAAACCAGATCGCAACATCTTCGTTCAATGATAGATGGAAGACTCTCAACTCAATGACGTTCATATCCAACTCCGGTCGTCCCACACAACTCCTGCAAACACTCCTCAACTTGGCCATGTGCCCATGTGGATCTTTCGAAGCCATACTAGAAACAACCCCCTCGAAGTAAGCGTATGTATTAGACTGCTCACCACCACAAATGTATGCCTTAGAGGTAGAGGAGGGATAACAATGGGTCCTTTTGATTCAACTGTATTGAACTCGACCCTGTAGTTATCTTGCAGCCTTGGTTCTGGTAGGTTCTGCACCCACAATGCATCTCGGAGTAGATTACCACCAGGAACCTGATTGTTCTCATTATTCGCTCTATCGTCATGCTCCTCTATGATTGGATTATTATTGCCCACTTGATTTGCCATTCTTCTCAAAGTCTTTCTTAGTTCGGGGTCGTATGGGGTCAGTGATTTGCCTCGACTCCGTGTACTTGGAATACACTAAAGTAGAAACCTGTAGAAAACAAAAACAAAAGAAAATGTAAAATTAGAAAATAATTGACTAATGTTCAATAATGTAGTTAAACTTAATCCAGAAGCCTTATTCCCCGAAAGCGGCGCCAAAATTTGATACGCTCAAATTACACCTCCCTAAAGAAGTATAAGCGATCGTTATCAAGTAAAGAACCCAACTTGTAGGTTGGGGTCTATCCCACTAGGAATATGGTTCAGACTTAAACTTAACTCACTATTATATTCATTTAGTCAACTTATTTCCGAGACAAGTAAATATAGGGGGGATTTGTGAAACAAATAATTGATTGTTGATCAAGTAGCAAGTAAGCAAGATTTAAACTTTGTTGTTATCAATGAGAGATAAACTAGGGTATATGTGTTCCCCATAAGATCTTAACGCAGTAATCCTAATAATAGTAATCCTTTCCTAGTATTTTACATACAAAGTTGGTAAGATATGTGTCCCTAAGTGATTGGTCCTCTAAATAGGGAATTTCACTCGCACCTTGGTCCGGCTACGTGTGTATACTTTACTAACCCTTACCTTTACTTCAGATTAGACATCACATCAATGTATGACTTAGTTTTCACCCTCGTACCAATTGACATTAGACTATTAGATAGTATCAAACTAAATCTCTATTGATAAATCTTTTCTCATTAACTACTTCCTTGGTCCGGCAAGTAGCAAAAAGGCGAGTTCTAATGCGTGCACTCGTTAAAAAAACTTCTAAGCAAAAGAATTACCAATACATGCATAAACATTATTCAAGAATTACTTAGTTATTATTCATACTTTGTTAATTGCTCATGGTTCCCACAACCCTAGTTGTGGATTTTGCTACTTATGCTTGAAAGAACACAATTCATATTTTGATCAAGAGAATTCATGACCTTACGTTTATAGTAGAAGAAACCTATAATCTCCAATTGAATTTCAAATAAAAAATATTAGAAACCGAAATTCGGAAATCAAATTGCCAAGTTTGCAAGTTAATTCCCAAGAAAATATCAAGAACTAAAAGTAAACAATAATGTCTAACCCCTAAAAACGAGGTTTACATACCCTATTTATATAAAAAACATGTCCTGAACAAAAAGGAAACACAATAAGAAAATAAGCTTCTAGGATGCAGCTTTGATCGACGACTGGACCTACGGACTTTGGGTCGACCTACGGTCTGTAGGTCCCCTACATTCCGTAGGTCCCCTACGTTGGTCAACAATTAGAACTTTTCCACAACAACTGGAACCTTCAACTCCCAGTTCATCAATAATGGACGTGCAGGACAAACCGTAGGTTGACCTATGGTCCATGGGTCCTCTTTCGTGGCTCCACTCTTAGGAATTTCATCAAGTATTGGAACTTCAACTCTCTAAACACCTTCTATGGAAGTGCAGGACGGCCCGTAGGTCGACATATGGTCTGTAGGTCCCTTCGTAGTTACACACTTGGTCAAACTTCCCTGATGCTCCCATCTACGCCTACCCATAGACGGACCGTCACAGACCTACGATCCGTAGGTGGCCACTTTTGCAAAATTTCAGCTGTCATCCCACTCAACCACATCCAAGGCTATTTCGTACAAACATGACACAAAAACATTATTTTCAATGCAAAATGGCCCTAGACACACACAACTCTTAAGTGAAATGTATCAAAATACCGTAAACTCACGATATATCAACTATTCATCAAGTCCATAAACGCCGCCAAAGAATTAGTCAACCCAAACGACATTACCAAAAACTCAGAATGACCATACCGGGTTCTAAAAGCCGTCTTTATAATATCTTCATCTCTCACCCTCAATTGGTGATAACCCGACCTAAGGTCAATTTTTGAGAAATAACTTGCCCCTTGAAGTTGGTCAAACTAATCATCTATCCTTGGAAGAGGATGCTTGTTCTTAATGGTCACTTTGTTCAACTAACGATAATTGATGCACATACGAAGTAACCCATATTTATTTCTAACAAACAACACGGCAACACCCCATGGTAAGATGCTCAGTCAGATGAAGCCCTTATCCAACAAGTCCTTCAACTGTTCTTTCAACTCCTTTAAATTAGCCGGGGCCATTCTATAAGGAGGAATTGAGATAGGTTGTGTATCTGGGAGAAGGTTAATACCGAAGTCTATTTCCCGCTCGGGAGAAATACTGGGTAAATCATCTAGGAACACTTTTAGAAACTAATTTACTATGGGGACCAACTCAAGTGTAGGGGTTTCAGAATCTATACCCCTCACCTTAATAAGATGGTAAATGCAATCCTTAGGGATCATCTTTCTAGCTTTAAGACATGAGACGAACTGACCCTTAGGCATAGAATTTTCCCCCTTCCACTCAAGGACATGCTCATTCAGGAACTGAAAGTTGAGTACACGAGTCCTACAATCAATTGACACATAACAAGAGTGCAACCAATCCATAGAAAGTAAAACATCGAAAGATAACATATCAAACTCTACCAAATCAATAAGAGTAACTCTATGGGATAGGGAAATAGGGCATCTTCTATAAACCTTCTTAGCCACCACAGAATCACCAACAGGAGTAGAGACAAAAAAAGGTTCTAACAACACATTAGGGAGCACATCAAATATCATTTCCACATATGGCGTCACACAAGACAAAGTAGCACCAGGGTCTAACAAAGCATACACATCTATATAGAAAAATTTTAACATACCGTTGACCATGTATGAAGAATTTTCTTGTTCACCTCAGTTTTGGAGAACATAGAAGCAGTTTTGCTTGGGAGCATTGGAATTTTAATCACTAGGAGGATCTTGCTTACCCTCTCTTCCCTTAGCAGTAAGCATTGGGCAATATCTCATTTTGTGACCACTCTTACCACAATCATAGCACTCATCCATGCCGGCTAGACACTTACCATCGTGCCTCCTTCCACACTTGGTACAATTAGGCCTAGAAAATGAAGATCCACTACCATTATCTCCTTGAGGCTTGAGTTTAGTCACCCTATCTCTAGTGAACTTGGAAGGAGCATTGGAGAAACCTTGGTTGGAAAACCTTTGTCTAAACCTTGGTCGAACTTGTCCATCGAACCTTGTATTGGAGAAGTTCCCGTCACCAGTCCTTGCCCTCTTTACCTCCCTATTCTTTTCCTTGAGCGTTGACTCCTCAATTTGTTAGACATGCACCATAAGACATGAGATATCCATATCATGGATAAACATTGCCGTTCGACATTCTTTCTATACCATGACAGAGACACCTGCCACAAACTTACTCATCTTAGCCCTAGAATCCGCCACGATAGTTGGAGCGTACTTGGATAGTTGGGTTAACTATAAAGCATACTCCCTCACACTCATACTTCCTTGACGAAGGTTAATGAACTCTTGCACCTTTGCTTCCCTCATCTCAAGGGGAAAGAACCTGTCAAGAAAAGCAGACTTAAACATTTCCCACTCTACGGGGCCCGCTCCTACTGACCTTCCTTCCTTCTATTGGTTATACCAGACTTGAGCAACACCTTTCAATTGATAAGCGGCCAATTCCGCCTTCTCTACCGGATTCACCCCCATAATAGCAAGTACCTTATAGGCCTTATCGATAAATTCTTGAGGATCTTCCTCAAGTTTGGAGCCATAAAATTCCAGAGGGTTCATTTTTGCAAAGTCCCTAACTATTGAAGCCGCTGAATTCCTATTCGGGTTCACATGATTAACCACCTCTCTATTGGCTTGTGCCGTCAAGGCTTGAGCCAACATTTGGAAAGCCGACCTAACCTTCACATTTGTTACATTCTCGGTCAAAGGATCAACTGGAGCTTTATGAGGATCTCCTTGATTCACATTGTCTTCCTCATTCCTTCTAGAGAAAGCCCTTTGAGTAGTCATATTCTGTAGACCATCGGGTTAGGATTAGGATAAATACCTTATAGAGTTAAACTCTATCACATGACTAAAGAGTAATGGAAGAAGTAAAATTTCCTAACCATCGTGTAGCTTCTTATCCATAAATGTGGTGTGCTTCACACTCATGAACAAGACTCTCCAGATGTGTCTTATGAGTCATAATCCTAGAATAATTCTAAACCTTGTGCTCTGATACCAAGTTTGTCACGACCCAAGGGTACCCCCAAGATGTAACACAACGTATAGAATCCCGAAGGACTCTACATAAGCCTCTTAGTCCTCATAACATAAGTAAATAAAATAATGATAGAAAACACATTTCAAGTCTAAAAAAGTTTTTTCATAAACGAAAGTGGAAGTCTAGACACTTTGTCTCAAGATAGCCATCTATTACAATATTGAATGAAATAGGGCCTAGCCTATACAACATGTCCAAAAATGGAAAGTACATGAAAGAAACTAAAACATAGAAGTCCGTCCTCGAACCATGAGGACTCACCAAGCTCAGGAACACAATTAATCCAAGATCTAGTCATGAGAATTACCACCTTGAGAATTGGACCCTATATCTTGGAAAAATATAGGCAAAAGTAGGCGTTAGTACAAAAATGCACTAAGTATGATAGCCATGCATAAAAACATTGAAAACATGCTAAGAGGGACATTTCATTTCAAAGCATGCACTTTACCAAGTTTAAACATCATCACGGAGATAGTTGGAAAACATAACTCAAAACATCATCTTGAATGCATGCTAGATTTATCATGAAAACCTTTGAACACTTATGGGATAATTCTTTAAGCATGCCTTAGTTCATGATTACTTTGAACACTACGAGATACTTCTTTAAGCAATCCTTAGTTCAATATTAAACTTCTTGTTATTGTGGGAAATAAGCCTTAACCTACATGAGACCATGTGAGCTTATCCAGTGACTCCCTCACTGAAAAGGGTTGGTCTACTTGCCTAAGGTAGAACCAGTAATCTTAGCTTAAGTGGATCCACTAGCTAAATAACCTATGAGGGCACATAGTTTATGGTATAAGGAGATTGTTACTAGAAACCTGACCTTACTATGGGAGAGCTTCCATCTCAAGAGATTGCTTCTAGAAACCTGACCTTACTACGGGTGAGCTTTCATCTCAAATAATATCCACTCGGTGCTAAGCATTACATTCCACGGAGTAGTTATTAAGTCTTGAATTGACTCAATTACTCATGAAAGGGCGCCCTTGGCCTACCGATTCATGATAAATCACTAGAAAAACTCATTAGTCACTCATGAAAGGTTTCCATTGGCCTACCGATTCAAGGTAGATCATCAGAATAACTCTTTAGATCATGTGTGAGAAACCCTTTCACTATCCATGATTACTTGCTTTTAGATTCAATTAGGTGAGAAAACCTTTCAACCTGATAACCTTCATTACTCATGCATAGGTGTGTATATGATGATGTCCTTTCAACAACACAACAACAACAACAAACAACATGGAGACTTTACTCTCAAAGCATCATCAATACAATTGCATAGATTTCATAGCAAATGCATAATTTTATACTTTACCTCTTTGAGGTTCAAAAATTTCTTTCAATCATCACATCTAGAATTCTAGCATTAGACATGAATAGCATTATAATTCAAGTGATTCTATCACCTCATGCATTAATTCATAAAACTCCTCTTTCATCAACAAAGACCCACATTATAAGATCACAATTGAGAAATATGGGAATTGAAATACATTATAAAAACCATAGGAAATCATCAATTCATACTTAATATAACATAATTAAACCATTAGAATCAAGTTTGAAAGGAACCCATGACTTTTGAATCAAACCCTAACAATTGGGGATTTCTATCTTTTGGAAATTGGAGTTTTTGAGAGGACTCCATGGATGAAAAATACCATACCTTAACAACAAAGCCCAATGAAATTGATGTACAAAATCTTTCTCTTGAACCCTTGCTTAAATCTCCTTCTTCTTTTTCTCCAAGTTTCTAGAGAGAGAATATTTTGGAGGGAATGAACTTTGGAAATTAATTTGGGTTTTGGAAAATATGACTTAATTGGGTGAGTTTTAGAGTTAAAAATGCTTATATAGTGACCCTAGGCTTAGGCAAAATGACCTCACTTAAGTTGGATTAAAACCGGATAAGACTCATTTGCCCCTGAAATAACTGCCAGCCCTTGACCCGCGACACACGACCGACGGACCGTGGATGGATCTACGTTCTGTCCTGGTCAACCGTCGTTTGTTGTCAGAGAGTTTTGGGCCATCGACAGACCCCTAGACCACAGACCGTGGACCCACCTACGGTCCGTGGGTCCAGTCGTGGTCCTGGCCTAGAGATTTTCTTAGGTGTCCAACCACAGACTCACCTTTGATCCGTGGTCCCAACCACGGTCTGTGGTTTTCCACCGTGGATGGCACCTGGAACTTGTTGAAAGACTGCTATTTGCCTCGTTTCGAATTCGGGGTGTTATAGTTTAAATGTTGTTTTGAAGTGGGTTCAATTAATTGTTCATGTTTTAATTGAGTAATTGTAGTTACAAATGCAATTCTAGCTTAGTTCTCTATGCTTGCTTGAGAAAGAGGTAGTAGAGTAGAATGATTGATTCATAGTTGTATTGATTGCATCTTTACAATCTAGCTTGAGAAAGTTGGTTTGATTGCTTCTTTACAAACCCAACTTGAAAGAGTTGGTTATATAAGAAATTGGGTTGTTTGACTGTGTTATGCTTGTTGAGGTTCAAGAGAACTCACTTGAAGCACAATAATTGATTGAGAAATTGCTATTGTATTCAAAACCTAGCCTACCCATTGAGATTCAATAACTTTAAGCAACTAGTAATCAACCATTGCGCAAAATTAGCATTCGACTGATCACACTCTTAAGGTCCAATCTCTACTTGTTTACTTCCCGTGTTAACTAATCTTTATCTTAAATTGGTTATCAAATTCCCCCATTTGATATTTAATCGTTGAAACTTTGTGATTTGTTTTAATGTTGCGAAAGCTTTACTTCTACAAATGATTAGGACATGTTTTTACTTCTTAATTAAATTCTTTACTGTATCACTCCCTGTGGGATCGACTCCAACTCTTAGTTGGGTTTATACTTGTTAGCGACCGCCTACACTTAGTAATTGATGAAGTGTAGTTAAGCGTTATCAACTATGATTTTCTTATTATGTCTTTTCGTTTGACTAATGCTCCTGCAACATTCATGTATCTTATGAAGAGAGTATTTAAGCCCTATCTCGACATGTTTGTGATTGTATTCATTGATGACATATTGATTTATTTGAGGAATTATGAGGATCATGCTAGCCATATCAAAATAGTTCTCCAAACTATCAAAGATAGAGAGTTCTATGCTAAAGTTTCTAAGTGTGAATTTTGGCTTGAGTCAGTGGCATTTTTAGGCCACATATTGTTTGGTGAAGGGATTCGAGTTGATACTCAGAAGATTGAAGCAGTGCAAATGTCACGACCCGAGAGCACCCCCTAGTAGTAACACGGCGTACTCGATCCCGAAGGGGTCTTATACAAGCCTCATAGCATTCATTCATCGCATAGGTATTAGAAATAGTACGGAATAAAAACTTTTTATTTAAAATCCATACAATCTAAAGACATTCATTAATGCAAGCGGAAGTTTATATCTCACATAGCCATCTTAGACACAATCTTTAACAATATAGGGACACAACCCTTTACAATAGAATTCTAAAGTAGTCTATTACGTGAAAAGAAAATAAACTTCTAAGAAAGACCCTTGTCCTCGAACTATGAGGACGTACCAGTTGATTTTTGGAAGAATAGCAATCCAAGCACTTCAGTCTAGGTAGAAACAATCACTTGCCGGAACCTACACTTTGTAGTAAAAACATAGAAGAATGGGTTAGGACACAAAAATGTACTAAGTATGATGACCATGCACAAACATGATTTAAAAGGGGACATTTTGGTTAGAAACCATGCATGATGTTACTTTTTAGAAATATCATGAACAATAGCATAAGAGACATCAAGTACAAATATAATCATCATACAAGTCATAACATCACATTTGAACAATATCAACATGTAACTCTTTACCTTCACATTTAGCCTTTACCTCAAGTAACCCTCATGCTATACCTTGTGCAATGTATGGATAGCGTCCCATACCATCATCCACACCAAGGTACCACATTAAGGTCACCAAAAGTGAACTTACCATTTCCAATAATACTCATACACAAGAGACCTAAACCTTTAACAAGTTATTTCATCACATAAGAACCATCACCTAAGACAACCCCTAAGTCATACTTGTGCAATGTGCAAGTAGTATCCCATACTACTACTCACACTAAGTACTCCTTTGAAGTCACCATAGGCAAGGTACATTGAAATACTATAAGTCATTACAAGGAAGTAACTCATAATACAATCCAAGTATAGCAAGCATCATTACATTAGACCTTCAAATTCAACATTCTTTATTAGCTTCATTTAGAGGACCTTCATACAATAGTCATTAAGACTTAGAGAACTCACTATAGCCCTCTTGAAGCCTACTCGTGCCATGTATGGATAGCATCCCATACTACTACCCACACTTCATAGAACTCCTCAAGAAACTATAATGCACATCTCACATGATGGGAATAAGCGTTTAACCGACATAGACCATGAGAACTAGATCATGGAATCCGGTGTCATGTAACCCCACACCGTAGAAGGTGGTCAACTTGCCTAAGGAAGACCGATATTTAGCTTAAGTGGATCCACTAGCTATCCTATGTGGGCACATAGTTAAGGGACAAGGATATTGCTACTAGATACCCCACCTCAAGTCACGTGCGGGTATCCATCTGAAGAGATTGCTACTAGAAACCCAGCCTCAACTCACGAGAGGGCTTCCATCCCATTCAATATCCTTTCGGTGCTTAGCCTACATTCCCATAGAGTATTTTAACATTCA